CTCTATGTGGAATATCTGAACTAGCTACTCTGTCTCTATTTCTGCACTCTGACTTCCATTAACTGCATGATTCCCTGAGTTAATCCTTTAGCAATGAGAATGAAATCTGGTCTTCCCTCAACCTAAAACTTTTCAACAGCTTATGATTGCACTTAGAATAAAAATAGCAACCCCTTTACTCTTGTTCATGAACTCCCCATTAGATTTTCAGGTCACAGTGTCTTCCCTAGAGAGATTTTTCCCTAGCCTGGAGAGAATACTCATCTGTCATTTTTCTGTGAATATCACTTGCTTGAGTATGTCCATATATTCACACATACATACATATGTACGTACATACATACATTCATATTCAACATGGGAAGTGATACTGGTATCTAGGAAGAAGTCAGTACATGTTAATGTTATTATGTTGTCTCTTTTATTAAGACCTCTTTTCTTCTTTTGCCCTCAAATCCTATCTTTCTCTTTGAAGCTAGGGAGCATGGGAGATAGAGCAAGCACTGGACTCGGGATACTAAGGTGATTTCTAGAATCAGGCCGTTGGCAGGTCCCTTCCAGGACACCAGAAGCTACTTTAAGGCCCTGGAAAGGTTCACAGTCTCCCCCTTGCTTAAGCACCAAGGCAGTGTCAGAAATAGTATGGCCCTGCTGTCTTTGCTAAGATGCTCCTGCTCTTTTAGGAAAGGTGTTGTCCTTGGCTTTGAAGAAGACTCTGTTTTAGCTCAGGATACATGCCCACCTTCCTTATAATAAATCAAAACTTGTTAAGGTCAGGAAGGAAAGGTCATGATGGTATAGGGCCCACACAGGCTGTGTGTTGAGTCATACTCCTTCCTGTCTACCTCCATGCTCCTGAAGAATCCCACAGACCAAGCAGCAGCCATACACTTTATTTAAATATAACTTACTTGAGTTTCAAACTTCACAGTTCTGAGGTGAGATCTGAGAATTTGCCTGTTCCCATAGGGTACTAGGTATTGCAGGAGCCGCTCCAAGACCACCCTGAAAACACTGCCCTAAAGCATTACGCATTTGCACAGTGAGCCCTCCTTTGGCGTCCTGTCTGAGAAGGGCATGATGAAGGGAAAAAGAGAAAGACCGAAAATCTTGGATTCTTATTTTCACTCACATGCACTGTGATTGCAATTCTCAAGATTTTGGTTGCATGGGAAAACAATCTTGTTACTTCAAGACTGGGAATTCATTGTCAGCATACTAGGGAATCTCTCAGAATTGAAGAAAGAAGTGAATAGCCCTGGGTTCCTGTGGCGCAAGCTTGTAATTCCAGATACTCAGGAGGCTGAGATCCGAGGATCACATTTCAAAGCCAACCTGGGCAGGAAAGTCTGAGAGACTGCAATTAATCACAGAAAAAAACTGGTAGTGGTGCTGTGGCTCAAGTGGTAGAGTGCTAGCCTAGCGCAAATGAGCTCAGGGACAAGGCCCAGATCCACTGTTCAAGCCTCAGAACCAGCAAAAAAAAGAAAAAAGAAAGAAAAGAAAGATGAGAATAGTTTGTGGAAGGCAGGGCAGGTTCTCTGTCTTAAGTATATCAGTCAGATGACTCATATTCTAAAGACTGATGAGAGATCATGTGTCCACAAGATTGTTCCCCACTAGCCAGCTCTAGTGTGATGGAGTGGATACAGGAAAGAGTCATGTAAGCAGACATGGATGCACCCACTCCCCTATAACCTTGAATTGAGCATCCTTGATTGCTCAAAGGCCTACTGCAGTGACCTTAACCAATTCTTCCCCTTGCTAAGCCTTCGTTGCCTTATCAGAAGAGCTTGAGTTAAAATTTCATGACTAGATCATCCTCTCTTAAGGTAGTCCTCAGAATTGTTTGGGATGCTTGGCAATGGAGAACCATGGGTCCTATGCTGTGCTAGTAAATGGTTAGAGGCTTTCCAAAACAGAAAAGAACAGAATGAAACAAACCCCCTGATCCATAGTGTTTGTACAGTTTTTGTGATGTAAATAAATACTCTCACCCAAGTTGTTGGCCAAGTTCAGGCCAACAATGAGAAGCTACTGAACTTGGCCTTGGAAAAAGAGGTACACATGGAATCCAGTATACCACCCACATGCTGATTCTGAGCCTCCAAGGGGGTCCTGGAACTCTGCATTTCCCCTTGGGTGATTCTACTCAATACTAGCATTTCAGAATGTCAGTGCCCAAGGACTTTGCATTTATCTATTTTAATTTTATTATAGGTTCTCACACAGGATCTGGAAGTTACAGATAATTTCTGCAACTACAGAGCAAGGCTAAAGAGATGCAGGGATCATGGCCCAAGTGAGTCAATGATGTATCTGTACCAGCATGTGACTACATTCACTTTCTTCTGTCCTTACCAGGACCCTGTCCTTTCATAACTCCTAGAAGCAGGGCAGCATCTCAATGCACTCATCTCAGGGATACAGGATAGGTGAGGACATAAGCTTGGGGGGCCTGGAATCCTTGCCCATTTTACATCTCTCTGGATGGGGCTGGCATTATGGCTTCTGTTATCATGACCTTCTGATCTGTTATCTCCACCCTTGGAACTGAGTCTGTCCAGTCTCCAGCTATTATGTGTATGTTTCTTATCATGTTTACTTTCTCTATGCAGGTGGAGGGCAAAACGAAAAATGCTACTCCTTCCTTGAGGTATGCTGAGACAGAAGTCACCACAGACCTTACAGGAGACCCACTAACACACAGCAGGGGCCAGTGGGTGGGAAGGACAGAGCTAAGAAGATGGCTGGGCAAAGGAAATAACAGACTGCCAACATGACTGGACTTTCTTTGGGGAACTTTTAGGAGAAACCATTTCTATATGAAAATTAGTTTGGAAATTTTGTTTCAAACTGGATTGACTCTTGACTTTTTCTTAGTCTAGAAGGTCATGAATCTCAAGTATGATCTCCAGACCAATAGTATCATGTGGAAACTTTTTAGAAATGTAATTTCTCAGGCTGAGCAGTCTGTCTCCTACTTCGAGCCATTGTTGGAACCATCGTGATTCTAAGTTCCGCTGTGTGTAGGGGAGGGGAGAAGGTGGGTTAAGCACTCTTCCCTCAAAAACTTCTTTTCCATCTTGTGGCCTTCTTGGCTGCCATGCTGACCTGTCCTTTTGGAAGGTGAATGCTGCTTGGAGATGCTTAGCATAGTGTAGACATTTTAAGCAGGGCCTAAGTTTCTAAACTGCTAAGCTCTTCTGATCTTGCCTTATGTGTGTCTCTTATCTCAAATTCCTATGTATTTGCATATTTTTATTTACTCATTTATTGTGATGTCAGGGTTTGAATTCAGGACTTTATACTCTCTGGGTCAATATACTACCCAGGTATCTAAGCCCTTTTCACTCTTCTGATTTACTTTTTAGATAAGATCCCATTTTTTCCCTAGGGATTGCCTTGGATTGTAATACTCCTACCTATACCTCTTGAAAATTTGGGTTTATAGACATGGCCTGCCACATCGTGACTTATTCTCTGAGATAGACTTTTGCTAACTTCTATGCTCAGCCTAGCCTCCAGCTGAGCTCCTCCCATCGTTGCCCTCTTTATTACTGGCATGTTCAATCATGCCTTGTTTCTCTCAACATTTCACGGTCAGCTTATACTATGGCCCATATTACAGCCAGGGCCCTGTTCCTCATATTCTACCAATGTTCTTCCATCTGTCTGGTATTATTCTTCCCAGTGCTGGTCCTTTTGTGGCATTCCTTGTCCCATGGTTTCTGTCTAATCTCACCTGGGCCCAGAGGTCAGGACCTAAGCTATGGAGGTCAGGATCTCCCTTTGGCTAGTTCTTGGGGGGTGGTCTCTCAGAGTCTCTGAAGTGTACTCTATGTATTCTATATGGTTTGTAAGTCATTGAGAAAGAGGTGGCTGAGTCTTTTTCTCAGGGAAAGCTGAATATGGTTGGGCAGGTAGAGGGGAGCAGCTCACAGATGGGCGCTGCAAGATCTAGAGTTGCTGTGACTGACACTGGAACCATGAGACAGCCCCTAGGAAATGGAGAAGCTGGATTTGAGCTGAAGCAGGGAAGAGGAGAAGGAACTGATTCTAGCTTTGGCTCAATGGGCTATAAACCAGCAGGCTTCCCTCTATTAGACCTGAACTTGTCCTTGCTGAAGTTGGTGGATCAGAGATAAGCCTGAACTGCATTGAATTTGGGGCTCATACTTACTGGGTAAGAATGGCTATTTGGGAAGATAGGTCATGAACTGAGTCTGGAGACTGCTACAGATCTGGGCCATTTCCACACTCTTACGTTAGGTAGCTATTCATAGTTGCAACAGAGTAGGAACATGTGTCTCCTCACCTATGTGTTTCCTTGTGCATCCATGAAGGGTCCCAGGCAAAACTGGGTAGTCTCCCTTCATCTCATAAGATGTGTGGCTATGTAGATGACCAAGAGCACATAGTAACAAGTTACAATGGTGGCAAAACGAAACAATGCTCACAGCTCCTATATCCCATGAATGAGGATATTAATACCACATTTCATGGGAGTTAGTAAACCTCCTCTCACCTCACTTTTCTCCTGTGCAAAAAGAATCCAGAAGCCACTGGCTCCCAAAGTGCTCAATACCATATGACTAGAATGCTGATTATCTTTCATTTTCTGGGTAAAAATCTGTGGTGTGTGTGTGTGTGTGTGTGTGTGTGTGTGTGTGTGTGTGTGTGTGTGTGTGTGTGATTATATGACCAGGCAGGCATCTTCTCTCTGGGTGGAGTTTGCTGTTGGCTCATGCCTGGACTTCCTGAGCTAGCTAGAGCCTGCTCTGGGGATGGAATTTCCATTAAGAATTAAGCAAGACAGCACCGAGGAAGCCAGGCAGGCTGAGAGGAGGGGGTCCAGGTGATGATGCTTCATCTCTGAGCAACTTGGGCTGCCTCAGTCCCGAACTGTTTTGAAAGCCTCTGCCAGCTTTCCCTTGAATCACAGGCTTTTCCAAGGCCATGGCCTGAAAGGGAGAGAGTTGTTGCTCACAACAGCCTCTGTAAGGAGAGCTGGAGTTGTTCTAGGCAAGACAGGAGCCATGAGGCGGCCCCCAGAAGAGGCTGCCAGAGAGGGTCCATGCGGCTGGGGCCTATGGAGGGTCCAGGAGTCCCGGAGGCTATGCTGTACTGTAGGTATCTATAGGTGTGTGTGTGTGTGTGTGTACGTGTGTGTGTGTGTGTGTACGTGTGTGTGTGTGTGTGTTGGGTTATTGGGTGTGTAAGTCTGGGAAGGTGTGTGGGCATGTGTTTATTGTGTACGTGTGTATTGAGTGATACAAGATCTTCAAGGGAACATGTAGCACACCAAGTTGTTCTCTTATTCTGAATTCCACACACAGATTTTTGACCTAGACAGAAAAGACCATTGACATTTTTTCTTTCTTGCTAGTGTTGCTACTGTTTATGATCTAAGATTCACTCCATTTCTGGCATACAAATACCAGCGTTCCTGGTAATTTTATATCCTTGAATTTATTTTATCTTTTTAAAATTTTATTTGTTTTGCCTGTCCTGGGGTTTGAACTCTGGATCTTGGTACTGCCCCTGAGCTTTTGTGCTCAAAGTTAGTGCTCTACCACTTAAGCTATAGCTCCACTTCCACTCTTGGTAGTTAATTGGAGATGAGTCATATGGACTTTTCTGCCCAGGTTGGCAGAATCCTCAAATCTCAACCTCCTGAGTAGCTAGGATTACAGATGTGAGCCACTACCACCCATCTATTTCATACTTTTAAAACCTTAAGAGCAGACAAAGATTATTATGAGCTTGAATCTCAGAGAGGTTACATTCAGAGAGGTTGAGTGACTTGTCCAGGTCACACAGCTGTAAAGTTCTAAAGATAGGATACAAAACTAGGTCCCTTGGAGGACAAAAATCCAGACTATTGTTAATCAGACCAGTGGACCTGCCAGAAATAGATGAGAGAAGGTTCTATTCCTTTTAGTAGAATAACCACTAGATGTAGCCTCAAGGTTCCAGATCTGTTACTAATCATTGTGGAGACAGGATTTGAACCCTGTTTCAATTAGTTCGGGGGAGGGTATGTAAAATCTGGCTGTCTAGAGGAAGGGAAGCTGAGTCAAAGCTGGCAGGGGAATGATGTGGCTACTAGAACCTGGAAGAAGGAATGGGGAGCAGTAGCATCAAGGAAGAGGAAGCTGAGTGACACCTTGTAGTGGGCATGGTGCCACAGCAATGACACTGATCTCCATCCTGAACACAAAATGGGAGCAAATTGACATATTTTGCTGGTGAGGGCTTTAGGTTAGCTGCTGGAGAGCTGCCTGCCATTGACAGGCTTTGGAACAGAACCGGATGGAGGCCAGGGCTGACTTTTCTTGGTGATCTCCACGAACAGGTCCCATGAACAGATCCCATCCTGCAGAGGTTGCTAACAGTGGCGGAGGGTTTGGAGGGAATAGCTCCAAGCTTCCTTTCAGTTTAAGAATGTAACATTTTGGATAGAAATCAGGCTCCTCTAGTCTTAGCTAGTTGACACAGAGTCTGGAGTTGGGGCTGGGTATGTCTGATGTACCTGTGATGGGAGTGGATGCCACAGCCCCCTGTCTGTTTGGCAGGTCTGTGGTGCAGAGAGTGACTTCAATGAGTAACTCAGACTCCAAAGGGAAGCACCTGCAGCCAGTGAGCCCAGTCACATTCCTGGCATTTGGGGGCAGCTCCTTCCTTCTGCAGAGCATGTGAACTGCACCCAAATCCCTCCTTGTTTTGTTTCAGCTCCAAGTACATTCCCTGCCCCTCTCCAGATGTTGGCACGCAGGACCACATGTGGGGGCGCCCGGGCCCTGGCCGGCTGGCTCCATGGATCCTGGTGACTGCCAGCCCCCGACTCCTGCGCAGCCCAGGGGTGAGCCAGGTCTCTAATTCGGCCTGACCAAGTCTCCATTCCAGCGCTCCCACAGATGACAGCGCGCTGTTTCCAGGGCCAGACGCACACGAAAATAGTTCTCTGGGCCCAGCTGAGATTCAGGCAGCAGTGCCTGACGCGCGGGACAGCGGTTTGGCCCGGGAACTGCTGTGGGACTCTGCAGCGGGCCGGAGGAGGGGGAGGACCGGCCGGGGCAGGGGGAGGGGCAGGGGCAGTGCCGGCCTCAGCGGCCACTTTGCGCCCAGCCTCTGGAGCTCCAGCTGCACCGCCCTGCCACAGCTGGCACATCAGCGCATTCCTTCACAGAATAGGTAAGCAGACACACTCGTTCTTCTGACTGGACTCATGGGCCGGTGCTGGATCTACTAACCTAGTTGAGGCCACAACAGGTTTGTGCCTACTTGGATAGTGTCAGTGTGTCCGTGTGGGTGCTTGTGAGTGACAGTGTGAGCCTGTGGGAGGGAGTGTGTCTGACCTGGGACAAAGTGGTTTTAGAATGTTCTAGCATGTACTCCAGGATGGATGTGTATAGGTGGATGAGTGTGTCAGTGTGAGCACACTCACAGCTAGGTGTGTCTATGTGACACCTAACCACCCTAGGGTTGGCATCTCAGTCTCTGGAAGTGTCTTTGTGTTGGGGAGAACATGGGCTCAGCCTGACCATGTGTGAAGGATAGATAGAAGAGGGTGAGTCCCAGAGCGCAGAAGATAGGAGATATTGTGATATCTGAATTCATGCTTTCTCTGGGTGTGACCTGATTTGTCCCCAGCTGGAGTGTCTTGTCTGTGGGTCAGATAGCTTTGGTTTCTCAGGGTTTGGAGCAGAGCTCAGAGTCCTCAGCCAATGCTGGGGTGAATGGGGTTCTGACGACTCCATCTGACTGGACAAGAGTGTTGGGGACAGCTTGAAAAAGCCCACTTTGATGCCAGGAAAAGGGGCAAGAGGGGAGGGCACTCATGGGCTCTCAAGAGACACTTTCACATTTGTGGGCTTGCAGCAGCTCAGGTGTATGTCCTCCTGCACTGTGTGTCTGTCCTGCACACATGTCCTTACAGGCAAACCATCTCACATGCCACACTTGCCCAATAGCGTAAGGATGGAAATGACACGTCCACAGAGATGCAGCTAGAGTGCAAAACACATATACAAACCACATAGCCTTGGCTTGCCCTCTAACCCCTTTAAACTCCCTGTAGCCTTTATATGGTTCCTCTAACAATGGGTCCAAGAAACTGACCTCAGTCGTGGTTATCTTAAATTAGGGGCTTTAGCTGGGGGGTGGAAGTAGTGGCCTGAAGGCTTTTGGATATCTCATTTTTCTACATGGAAGCTGTTCACAGAGCCCAACAACATAGCACCTTTGGAGCCTTAAAGTCTAGTACTTAGAAGCAGTATATTTTCTTTCAGGGGTGAAAAGTTGTGTCATAAGGCTAATTAGTTTAGATAAGGATGTGGAGCAGATTCAGCACCTGTAATTTACTCCAGACTCTCTCTGCTTCAGAGAAGCAGTGAGCCTTTGGGGCTCGCTGGATGAGGATGGGGAGCCTTAGTAAATATTGCTCTTCTTTGGTTTCCATGGACCCTGCTGAGTCTCCCATCTGCAGCAGATGGAAGTTCAGCCTGCAGTCTACGCCTCTCCTCTTTCCCAGTGGTTATAGGATCTTCTCCTCCATAACTTTCTTCTCTTGGAGATCACTGGAGACACTGTAAACAGTGCTTGGGAAAATAGGTATCAATCGTTGGTGATGATTATTGTGTTGTTCCTCTTTTATTATGATTTCTAGTCTTCTCTCATCCTGGTCATCCTCTTCTGGATAGGTTTATGTGAGGTGTCCTCCCTAAATGTGCTTCTTGAGCTAAGAGATTAGAGAGACTTCTTTCTTAGTGTTGGTAGTTGGTCTAAAGATGTACCATCAACTCCCCTAATGGTCAGGGGAGCAAGTCAGATGTAATCACCTCCCAAGGGAAGTACTAGGGTCTATCTTTCTTGTTCTGATCCTAGACCTAATTCTTGTGGATGGTTAAAGGCAGGTGGTGGTCAGTCCAACAAGCTTCCTGAAGAGTGAAGATGAGGGGGAAGAAAGTATTTCCTTCTTGTGGTTTACTTCTCATTCTGGCTGCCAGGATGTTCTAGTGTATCAAATTTCTCCATTCTAGTAATTGTTGGAGCCATGACTTTGACCTTTAATTTCTACTTAACTTTATAGACTATATATCTTTAGCTGCAGGCTCTCTCATCCGTTATAGAGGGAGATCAGAGCAAAGAAATGAGCAATCAGTAGCTAGGCATCCTGTTAGCATTTGAGCATTGGATGGATGCTTTTTAGGCATCCCCAATTTCATACATTTCATCTAATTTTCAAACCATATGTCTCCATTGCAACTTTCATATGTTTAGTGACCCTGCTTGGTGACCATGTCTCGGAGCTTTTTTTCTTAGTGATCTGAAAGATAATGCCCATCTGTGCTAACTAGACAATGGCGATTGTTGAGAATGAATGGAGCCATTGACCCACACCCCCAGCTCTGAGTGCTTCAGCTGCTAGCTCCCCTCTGTCTCAAAAGCTTAAGTGTCTGGAGACCCAAAGGAGCTTGACCCTTGCCCTAAAACTAGCCTTAGCCCCAGTGCCACCCCTTGCTCATGTGACCCCACCTAATCAAGGGCCCTGTTGGAAGGTCTGTATGTCTTGGGCCTGAGTCCTGCCTCCCCTAACATTGACAACATTGTCTTTGGTTAGGACCTTGTGGTATCAAGTTTAGAATGAGGAGATTGGAGTTTGGGCACAGGAGGGGCAGTTCTGACTCCTTCCAATTATGTCCATTCAAAACCCCAATTATCACCTCTTAGGAACAGAGGTGCAGGACAGGACTCTAACCATATTGCAAAGTTAGCAAAACTTGTAAATAATTTATTCCAAAACATTATTTTATCCTACCAAAGTCATCCAATGCTTGTAAAGGGTTTTGCAGGGAAACAATGCTTAGTTAGCCCTGAGTGATTAGAGAATACTCAAGACAGGCTCACAGGCACTGCGTTGGGGACCTGCTTCTCTGTATGTACTAGGTCAATCCTAACTGGTGGCGGTTGCCTGTCATCAAAGCTAATCCTTCCAGAATCATTTGACCACAAAACCAGTTAGTGGAAATGCCTGGGGCCTGTTACTGTGTGAGTGAGGAGTTAGTTTGCTCCTTCCTAGATAAAAGGGAACACTAAGTTTTGAATCACTGCTGCTGAGGATTCA